GCTCCCCTGCAGCATTGTATCATTTTTACCTTTGATTATCAATAAAGAACCGAACTTTCTTCAAGCTGCCGCTTGCTTAGAAAACCTAGTTTTGTCTTAGCTTGAGTGATTCAACTAATAACGAGTCTTATGCTGGATCAGATATCCTTTCATTGTCTCTGTGGTGCACTCGATCCACTACTTAAACCACCAACCGATTCCTCAAGAGAGAGCGCTATAGCCAGCTTGATAGATCCCGTTCAACTTCAAGCCTTGGAGATCAAGTCTTGTCGTACCGCGTCCATCCCTTGAATATCACGAGAGAGCGACAAAACCAGCGTGTTATTCCCATCATTCACCTTGAGAACAGCGTGTCTAAAACTCGCACCTCGAGTCTTACATCATCTGGTATCAGAGCCGAAGATTCTATCGTCGAGTTTCTATCCTTCTTTAAATTTTGGATCCGTTGCTATTAGGTTCCGCTTTGTTTGTTTATCTTGCTTTCTGTCCTTTCTCTTTTGAAAACCTATAAAAAAATCGCTTGCTTGATTTTGTTCTCCCTTGTTTTAGTTTATTTATAAAAAAAAAATCCCAAAAGAATTATGTCCATCTTATTTGTTGCATCGTTTAAGTTGTTTAGTCCCTTTATAAAATCACAAAAACCCATAAAAAGATTTATGTGTGTTCGTGTTTATTTGAGTAATATTGACTGCTAAGCTTGTGCTCATTGTTGATCGAGTTAGTAGTCTTCTTTACTTGAGTTTCACTTATTGTGTCGTTGGTATCGTAATCCGTTTGCTAAGCATGTAAGGGTTAACGTACCGAGGAAAAGATGACTGATGGAGAAGACGCTCCCCAAGATGCCATGATGCAAATGATGGCGGCCATGGGAGAAGATATTAGGAACATGTGACAACAACTGGGTATCATGCGCCAAGACTTTGAAGCAAAGATTGACCGAATAGAGGTTCCCTTAAGGAGAGCTCCTGTTCGAGGAGAGCCGATGCAACGAGCCGAGGCTGACGAAGTCATACCGGAGTCCGATGATGACAATGAGACTTCATATCTGAAATGCAGGAACGATCTGACTAGAAAGTCATTCAAAACGTACATGAACCGTTCCAACACCGAGCACAAAGGAGACATGATCCGCTTAGGAGAAATCCAGAGCGAACGGTAGACCCTCGTGACATAAATCATGATATTAAACTAATCCCTCGTACTTTTGCAGGCAAATCAAACCCTGAAGTGTATATGGATTGGGAGAGACGGATGGACCACATCTTCAAGTGCTATGGGTAGCCCGAGTATAAGAAGGTGGCGGTGGCAGCTGCTAATCTCATTGAGAATACTCTGGCATGGTGGGATAGGAGTGTAGCCGAGAGAAGGAGACAACGCTTTGGCCAAGTAGCTGCATGGAGCAACATGAAGTTCCTCCTTAGGCAAAGGTATGTTCCTTCACATAGCCATAGAGACTTACAAACGCGTTTTTGTAAGCTTTCTCAGGGAACCCGAAGTGCGGAGGAGTATTATGCGGAGTTTGAGAAACTCATGAACTCGCTGGAGTTGGAAGAGTCCGAAGAAGCTTTGATGGCTCAATTCATTGACGGGCTACAAGAGAGAATCACCAGAAAGGTCGAGCGAATGCAATATAGTGGGCTACATGAGCTACTACATCTCTCTGTCCAAGTGGAACAGCAAATCAAGCGGAAGACATCTCTCAGCAACCGTAACAAATCAACTCAGCCGTGGGCAGCAAGCAGTTCTAAACCTTTAGATAAAGGAAAGAGAATTGAGATTGATTTGAGGTTCAAAGGGAGGAGTACTGAGACCCCTAAATTCAACCGTACTAAGCCAAGTAAGTTTCCTAGTACTAATCAAAGAACTCGGGACATAACATGTTTTAAGTGTCAAGGTAGGAGACATATGGCGAGGAAATGCCCAAACCAAAGACTTATGATCCTCAACCCTAGTGGCGAATATGAATCACAAGATGAGCAAGAAGAGGACAATGACAGCGAGGAGAGTGGAGACATTGAGTATCCTGACACCGTAGAGCTTCTCGTAACCCGAAGGGTACTAAGTGTTCTCATCAATCAGGAGGAGAAAGTGAAACGTGAAAACATATTTCATACAAGATGTACCGTGAAGGGAAAGGTATGTAATCTCATAATAGATGGTAGTTCTTGCACTAACTTTGCTAGTAAGTATATGGTGGATAGGTTAGGTCTTGAAAGAACCAAGCACCCGAGACCTTACAAACTAAGGTGGCTCAACAATCACACCGAGCTTTAGATATCCGAACAAGTGATCTTCTCTAAGATGCGAAAGGAGCCATCTCCTCTCGGTGCAAGTTTTAAACTCTGTTCCTGGGGGAATCTTTCAGGTCTCATGTGAAGCCACACCCACTCTCCTGGTTTAAACGTTAAAGCCTTGTGTTTCTTGTCCGTTTGCTTTTTGTAAGCTTCGGTTTTCTTCAGGATGTTTTCCTGGGCCTTCTCATGTAGTTTTTTGATAAACTCTCTTTTCCTGAGGCCATCTAAGTTAACTAGCTCAACTTGGGGAATTGGCGAGAGATCAAGAGGGGTTAGTGGATTAAAACCATATACTATTTCAAACGGTGACATCTTAGCAGCAGAATGAGTAGCGTGATTGTATGCAAATTCAATGAATGGCAAGCAATCTAACCAAGTTTTGAGATTTCTACCAAGTGTGACTCTAAGCAAAGTAGAAAGCGTATGGTTTACCATTTCAGTTTGTCCATCCGTTTGGGGATGACAAGTCGTAGAGAAAAGCAGTTTGATCCCGAGCTTTCTCCACAAGGTTCTCCAAAAGTGACTTAGAAACTTAGTGTCTCGGTCAAAGATAATAGTTCTTGGAATCCCATGTAAGCGCACCACTTCTTTGAAAAACAACTCGGCGGTTTGAATGGCATCACTGGTTTTGTCACAAGAAATGAAATGTGCCATATTTGAAAACCGGTCCACAACAACAAAGATAGAATCCTTGTGTCGTATCTTAAGTAAACCTAGAACAAAATCCATCGAAATGTCCACCCATGGTGCGTTAGGTATAGGTAAAGATAAATAGAGACCATGAGGGTGTAACCTGGACTTAGCTTTATGACAAATGATGCATCTAGAGCAGTCTTGTTCCACGTCCCGCTTCAAATGAGGCCAATATAAATGATCAGCAACAATGGCTAGAGTCTTATCCACGCCAAATTGTCCCATAAAGCCTCCACCATGAGCTTCTTTAAGTACTAAGTCTCGCATTGAACATTAGAGAATACACAGCCGTTTATCCCTAAAGAGGAACCCATCATGTATATAAAAAGCTCCAAAAGCTCATTTACCGCACGATTGATAAGCATCCCCTAGCTTCGGGTCTTCTTTATACAACTCCTTAAAGTGTTTAAACCCTAAAACTTTAGCTTCCATGGTAGAGATCAAGGCGTGTCTTCTTGAAAGTGCATCGGCTACCATGTTTTCTTTCTCTTTCTTGTATTTAATCACGTATGAAAAGGTTTTCACAGACTCTAACCACTTAGCGTGTCTCTTCTTGACCTCTCAAATGCTTAAAAATCTCGTGATCAGTGTGAATAATGAACTCCTTAGAGAACAAGTAATGTTGTCAAGTTTCTAAAGCCCGGACCAATGCGTATAACTCCTTGTCGTACATTGGATAGTTGAGCATAGCTCCACTCAATTTATCACTGAAAAACGCCACTAACCTTTTTCTCTGATGTAAGACAGCTCCAATGCCCAAATCTTAAGCTTAATTTATGTCCACCAAATATTTGTTGAAATGTTTAAAATATAATATAAAAGAATTGTTTATTATTGCTCTAAAGATTGACTATGTAAGGAATAATTTGACAATATAAGATTAAATAAATGTCTTAATGCTTGCTGTCTTAATTTCTAATTAATTATATATTATTTATCTATACAAGTCAATCATCTATTAGATATAAATGATAATTTTAAACATTATAAATAATAATCTTAAACATTATAATTAAAGCGAACCACTTAATAATTATAGATTTCAACATCTCAATATATTTTCAAATACATATTCGTAGCTCACTGTTTGTTCTAAACAACATATTTATAATTTAAGTTAACTTAAAATCATTTATTTATATTTCATTGTTTATATTAAATATAATATAACAAATTACTATCAATCCGTCTCATTTACTTTTCTCATCAAAAAAAACTTAACCTGCCCGTTCGATCCCTTCACTCTTAATATTTTTTAATTGATTTTTGTAAGTAACAAATTTTCATTTCCACATCGTTTTTTTTATTAATATAGATAACATACATGATATTATTTTCTTGACAATAAACATAAGATGTAAAATGAAATAAAAGAAAAACATAACAAAACAAGGATAGGAATAGATTAAATAATAGTCAGAAGCACAACAGATTTATTCAAGAAAATTTCCTCACCACCATACCTACAAATTAAAAACATTTAATAAATAAGACAAGATTTAATATAAAAGCATTGAATATGGATTAAATAAAGAGAGTGAGAGAGTTAACTTTTTAATAAATAAGACAATATTAAATAAAACAATATCTAATATTTAATATTGGATGTTTTTCAAAACTTTTTAAGAAATTAAAAATCTCAACTTGTCACACATATTTATAAAAAGTCAATGTTTTCTTTTAAAAAACTCACTCTAAAACGTATTTCAGAAAATCATATTCAAATTAATATGAAATTATTGTTTTAAAATATTTAGAACGATATAAGAGATTTTGTTAATAAAAAGATTTACTTACAACGTATGAACGAACAAATAGTTTTTATTTAAATATGAAAATAATATTTATTATTTTATTTGGTAAGGAAAAACATAGATTTCTTCATTTTGCTTTTTTTCCTTTCAGATAATCTATATAGTGCTCTTCATATGTCAGATTCTAGTGATAAGTTTGAGTTTCAGTGCGGATCTGGGGTTATTAAAATATAAATAGAGAAATGAAGAAAAAAAAACCTTAATCGCTGTCGCTGTCACTGCTGCTGCTGTGGTGGCCACCGTCGTGGTGTTTCTTCTCTTTTTTCTCCTTCTTTTTTTTCTTCTCACCGTCGTGTTTGTGGCGGTCTCCACTGCTATGGCCTTCTCCGCCGTGGATCTTGTCTTTGATCTTATCAACAATACCTTCTTTGTGTTCTCCGCTCTTGTGCTCGTCGGCGTGTTTCTTGTGTTCCTCCTTCTTCTGCTCGTCTTCCTTGTGGCCACCTCCAATGTGGAGTGCATCCCCAATCTTGTTGATGATTCCTGCCATTTCCGATCTCTTTCCTCCAAAAAAAAATTAACTCTCTCTTTATGTGTTATGTTGCTTCGACGATAAACTAGGATCTAAAGGGCCTATATTTATAGCCCCGTGGATAATTAATACTGTAATCAATCAGCTAGATATTTTATCAAACTAGAAAAAGATGACATAATGGCGTGTCAGGATAAGATCTACTTGCTCTATTTTTTCAATATATATTCAGACTATTAAAAGAGAATCTAGCTATCGAATTAGAAAAAGATAGACATAATGACGTGTTGAGGATAAGATCTATTTAATCTACTTTTTCAATATAGTGTTTTCTTGCGCATAAGGTGCGATGTTCGATTAATTTAAAAAAAAAAAAAAATTTAGTTTATTTATAAATAAAAAATTAGATTTTATAATTATTTGAAATCAAAATAATATATTTTAAAAATAAATTTTTTATGAGATATTATTTTTTTATCGCATAAATTAATTTTCATAAGATTTAGAATTTTACTTGTAACCGCATAAATCAATCAGGTTAATCGAAAATATCAGTAGGTTAAACGATCAAATTAAAATTAGTTTAAGAAAATAATTAAAATTAATTTTTTTATGATTTATGCTAATTATCTTTTTTTAGTAAATTGAATATTCTTATGATATAAACTCGAATTTAGAAATTTAGTTTAAATAAAACGAATATCAAAAATTAGATTATATTAATTTGTTAATTTCATTAAGAATAAATAAAATCTTTTTATATAAGGGGCAAATAGTAATCAACCATTATAACCAGAGCCGTGCCAAGGTTAATTGATGCCATAGACGATAATTTGTTTTTTTTTAATAATACAAAAAATTAATCTATATAAAATAAAAATGTATAGTGATTAAAATGAACTAAACATATCTAATATAATAAATATTATCGTATTACAAAAAAAAGCCTAAACATGACATTATTTTAAAACACGATTCTTTTTTTTCACAAAATCATTAAACCAACCATTAAAAATTTAACTTTTTTAATTAGTTCTCTTACAATAGATAAATTTTCCAAATCATTCAATTTTTTTAACACATACTCAAGTATAAATATGATTTTTATCATTTTTTACTGTGAAAAACTTTTTTCAATAAATACAAAGAATTAAACTAGATACAAAAAATTAAACTTTTTTCAGTAGATGTAAATAATTTAACTTACTTTAATAATAAATTGATGATATTTGATAAATTCACTTGAATGAATGAATGAAGTAGAGAGATGACAATAGAAAAAAAAAAGTCACAAACACTAATCTTTTTAATTGGTTTTAGTTTTTTTCTATTTTTATTTATTATTTTAATACAATTATTTTTTGGTTTGAAAATAAATATAATTTATATTTGGACTTCATCTACATACTTATCAACTATATTAAAATACACATTATGAATAGAACTAAAACTCAATCAATTTTTTTTTTTAAAAGTGAGGCCGTAGGCGAGTGCCTCTTTGATAAAAGGGTAGGCACGGTCCTGATTATAACTCTCAACCACAGTCCAACTTACTTGCCAATTACTAATATGATTATTAAAAAGGATTATTTTTTAAAACTAACATTTGTCTACCATGTTATTTATAATAATTGCCATTAATAAATTAAGATAAACATTATATATAAACTATGTTAATAGTACTAACCATACTAACTATATATTTATAACTATCTAAACTATTAAAAAAATAATTATTTTTAATAAATGTTCAATTCCTAATATGGTATTTACTAGAAAATTTTATGATTTCATTAAAAGTATTCCCATCATAATATTTGTCATTAAATGTTAAGATTATTTTCTGAATAGAAGGAGTGATTTGAATCCCATTACGAGTCCTCTTCTCGCTTGAGGCTTGGGCGGGTCTTTTGGTGGCGAAAAATTTAGGGTTATAAATTCCAGAACTTAGGGATTTGAGGGTGTTCCCATTTGAGAAGAGACATGAATCTAAGGTTTCGCATAAGCGCCATTGCTTGGTCTGTGATGTTAATGGACACATAAATAACGGGGCAAATCAAAAGCTTTTATCAACTCGCTGCAATTCATTTGACATTCCCAAGGATTATCATAAGCTGTGCCAGAGAAGAGATGTGTGGCATGAGATTGGGCATTTTAGGTTTACTTATTAGTTCTGTAAGAATTGTAATGGAATTTTTGGTTTGGTATTCGAATAATATTGTTCTCCTATTGGCTTGGTTTGAATTGGGTAGTTTGGTTTTGCAAACACTTTCAGAGCCGGTTAGATAGACCGTGAAAATTAAACAAAATATATTTAGCTTTGCTATATTCGCCCAAATTCACGAAACTTGACATTTATTGTGTGGTATATGAAATCTTTTGGAGAGGTTAATCTGTCGGTAAAGGTACTTCTTGTTAGAAAAAACAATAGAGATAAGGCATATAACTGACTATATCTGACAGTTATATCCAGTTTTTAATTAGCTGAATACAAACTATAAAATCCAGAGAGCTTGAGCTCTCCACGCCAAATATCTGGCTCTTCACGACAAAGAGGGGGTCTCCAGGAAATTCACCAGAGAAGTCGCTTGAGATGGTGGTTTATTTGGCATTGTACCTGCCACTTTACCCAAATCTTCAGAATCCTCAAACCGTTTTCTACCAAATGCATAGCTAATTGCACAGCAAACTATAAAAACAAATATACCAAAAGGAATTAGAATATTCATTTTGTGAAGCACATCTAGGGTTCAGAGGAGGAGGATTAGGAGGAGAAAAGCAAATGGTCTTCAAGGGTTTCACTGTAAGAAAACATCAGAACGCGAAAAGCACAAAATATCCAGAAAGCTCAAAAAGAATCCATAATAGATTATCCATTTTCGGAAACTTAGGATGTGATTCCATTTAAAAAAAAACATAGGGTTTGAGGTATGACAGAAACGAAACAGAGGTATAAAAGATCTCGAAACGATGCAGAAGTATAAGATCCTCTGACTTTGATCCCATTTCAAAAAAAAAACTTAGGGTTAGATAGAACTGAAGCAGACGTAGAAAAGATCTCAAAACAATGCAGAAGAAGAAAAGATCTTCTGACTAAAAACTCATCTCGAGACCTTCACTTTTCCTTTTTTTACTCCTTTCTATGCTCTGCTCTTTTCTATTTTTTTTTAGTGACAAAAAATGCTGCTAAAAAAAACATTAAAGTATATATGTCAGTGTTTGTGTAAAGTATTAATGTAACACCCAAGTCTCCCTTGGACTTTACTCCCAGTGATCGTTCTACTCCCTGTGACAGTAATGTTCCTGCAACTCAACTAGACATAAATGAGATTATGGAGATGGATAAGGAAAGTAAGACCAAGCTCGATCCTCTTTGTCGAGGAAACTCGACCTGGTTTGGCTTTGGCAGTCGTATTATTAAACGCATTTTACATATGTTGCATGGGATGCTGAGGACACCTTACAAAAGGTATTCTAAAATGCCACAAGAAGAGATTGATATGTGGTTTTGTTCTTTCGCGGTAAGTTGTGTAATTTTTTTTAATATATCATATTTTTTATATAACTAATTTCTAATCCTTTTCTCCTTTTTAATATGTAGTAAAATTATTATTGGGACCATGTACACACCTCTAAAGTCAAAACCGAATTCCACGCCAGAGTTGCTCTCCAGTATTCAAAACACATGAATGAGTGGAAGTAAAAGTGGAGAAGTGGTGTCGTTGAATGTTAAAAGGGTTGACCAATACGTGTTGGAAAGCTTTCCAAATTTATTGGGCTGATGCTAAGATGGAAAAACTCTAAAAAAGGAATTCAAAGAACCGAATGAGCGATTGAGATGGTAAAGAGATAACAACGCATAATTCGGGAGCCATGAGTTTTGTTTGACAAGCAGCTGAAATGGTAAGATTTACAGTTGAATTTTTTTTTCTTACTTGTTGTTTTAGATTTTTATTAACTATTTCTTTTTAATACAAGCGAAAGAAAATGGTGGTGTTCTTGTCGTTTACTATGACTTTGTGCAAGCTACCCACACCAACCAGGCAACTAAGCAACTGCAAGACGGAATTACCATTGAACTAGTTGAGAAAGTCCGTAAAAAATGACTTACTCAGTTATCTCAGCAAGGAACGCCTGTCGAAGACCTTCCCCGAGAAGTTTTTGACACAATGATTTATGAGGTAATTACTCAATTAAATTTAAATATATTTATTTCTTTAATATTTTATGTAGTTTCTTATAAATATTTTTTTATGTTGTAGTATACTGCAAAAAGCAAGGGCTGTTTATTTGGATTAGGATGTCTTCCCAAAATTTACAAGTTTGGATGTTCCCGGGAAAACCCACCTTCGGAATGGGAAATCGCATTGCAATAAAAGGTTGCGGAGTTGAAGGCTAGACTCAATGAAAAAGATGACCGATATGCCCGAATGGAAGACTTGATCCCGAGAAAGTTCCCGCGAGAACTTTAAATTTCATATTGTATTTGAATTATAATGTTTATTTTTATTTTATTGACAATTTTAAATTTAATTACAATTTTTTATTATTATTTTTATTTTCTTTTTTATTATTTTTTATTTAATTTTTTTATATTCCATCGGAATTTTCGCAAAAAAACTTCAATGTTAATTATCATCGATTGTCTATCGAATATTTTTGATAGATTTCCGACGGCATTCGTCTTTCCGTCAGAATTCTATCGGAAATGCTTCGTCGGGAAATCTAAAAAAATATGAGCATTCCACCAAAATTCTAAACACATTATAAACCTCATCAAAACCTAAAAGCGTGAACAACAAAACATATCAATAACAAAAAAATAACTTTATAGTATATGAACAAAATAAATTAAGGGGTTGGAACTTACATCAGAAACACACATATATTAGAGAATTCAAGTCTGTATTACACAATGATAAATCATCAACATTCGATGCTTAAAAAAGTCTTAAACAAAATAAAATCGTCCTCAGTAAGACACAAGATAAATCTGATCAATCTAACTAGGGAATCTT